GTCAATGTGCGGGGGCACCGGCTAGTTGAGGTAGTTGAGGTAATATGTACATGTGGGTAGAGTTAAAGTGACTATGCATAAATACTTAACAGAGTAGCAGCAGCGTAAAAAGGATGGGGTGGGGGGGCAGTGCAAATAGTCCGGGTAGCCATGATTAGCTGTTCAGGAGTCTTATGGCTTGGGGGTAGAAGCTGTTGAGAAGTCTTTTGGACCTAGACTTGGCACTCCGGTACCGCTTGCCGTGCGGTAGCAGAGAGAACAGTCTATGACTAGGGTGGCTGGAGTCTTTGACAATTTTGAGGGCCTTCCTCTGACACCGCCTGGTATAGAGGTCCTGGATGGCAGGGAGCTTTGCCCCAGTGATGTACTGGGCCGTACGCACTACCCTCTGTAGTGCCTTGCGGTCAGAGGCCAAGCAGTTGCCATACCAGGCGGTGATGCAACCAGTCAGGATGCTCTCGATGGTGCAGCTGTAGAATTTTTTGAGGATCTGAGGACCCATGCCAAATCTTTTTAGTCTCCTGAGGGGGAATAGGCTTTGTCGTGCCCTCTTCACGACTGTCTTGGTGTGTTTGGACCATGATAGTTCGTTGGTGATGTGGACACCAAGGAACTTGAAGCTCTCAACCTGTTCCACTACAGCCCCGTCGATGAGAATGGGGGCGTGCTCAGTCCTCTTTTTTTTCCTGTAGTCCACAATCATCTCCTTTGTCTTGGTCACGTTGAGGGAGAGGTTGTTGTCCTGGCACCACACGGCCAGATCTCTGACCTCCTCCCTATAGGCTGTCTCATCGTTGTCGGTGATCAGGCCTACCACTGTTGTGTCGTCGGCAAACTTAATGATGGTGTTGGAGTCGTGCCTAGCCATGCAGTCATGGGTGAACAGAGAGTACAGGAGGGGACTGAGCACGCACCCCTGAGGGGCCCCCGTGTTGAGGATCAGTGTGGCAGATGTGTTGTTACCTACCCTTACCACCTGGGGGCGGCCCGTCAGGAAGTCCAGGATCCAGTTGCAGAGGGAGGTGTTTAGTCCCAGGATCCTTAGCTTAGTGATGAGCTTAGAGGGCACTATGGTGTTGAATGCTGAGCTGTAGTCAATGAATAGCATTCTCACGTAGGTGTTCCTCTTGTCCAGGTGGGAAAGGGCAGTGTGGAGTGCGATAGAGATTGCATCATCTGTGGATCTGTTGGGGCGGTATGCAAATTGGAGTGGGTCTAGGGTTTCTGGGATTATGCTGTTGATGTGAGCCATGACCAGTCTTTCAAAGCACTTCATGGCTACAGACGTCAGTGCTACGGGTCGGTAGTCATTTAGGCAGGTTATCTTAGAGTTCTTGGGCACGGGGACTATGGTGGTCTGCTTGAAACATGTTGGTATTACAGACTCAGTCAGGGACATGTTGAAAATGTCAGTGAAGACACTTGCCAGTTGGTCAGCACATGCTCGGAGTACACGTCCTGGTAATCCGTCTGGCCCTGCGGCCTTGTGAATGTTGACCTGCTTAAAAGTCTTACTCACATCGGCTACGGAGAGCGTGATCACATAGTCGTCCGGAACAGCTGGTGCTCTCATGCATGCTTCAGTGTTGCTTGCCTCGAAGCGAGCATAGAAGTGGTTTAGCTCGTCTGGTAGGCTTGTGTCACTGGGCAGCTCGCGGCTGTGCTTCCCTTTGTAGTCTGTAATAGTTTTCAAGCCCTGCCACATCCGACGAGCGTCAGAGCCAGTGTAGTATGATTCAATCTTAGACCTGTATTGACTCTTTGCCTGTTTGATGGTTCGTCGGAGGTCATAGCGGGATTTCTTATAAGCGTCCGGGTTAGAGTCCCGTTCCTTGAAAGCGGCAGCTCTACCCTTTAGCTCAGTGCGGATGTTTCCTGTAATCCATGGCTTCTGGTTGGGGTATGTACGTACGGTCACTGTGGGGACGACATCATCGATGCACTTATTGATGAAGCCAGTGACTGATGTGGTGTACTCCTCAATGCTGTCTGAAGAATCCCGGAACATGTTCCAGTCTGTGCTAGCAAAACAGTCCTGTAGCTTAGCATCTGCGTCATCTGACCACTTTTTTATTAGCCGAATCACTGGTGCTTCCTGCTTCAGTTTTTGCTTATAAGCAGGAATCAGGAGGATAGAGTTATGGTCAGATTTGCCAAATGGAGGGCGAGGGAGAGCTTTGTATGCGTCTCTGTGTGTGGAGTAAAGGTGGTCTAGAGTTTTTTTCCCCTCTGGTTGCACATTTAACATGCTGGTAGAAATGAGGTAGAACGGATTTAAGTTTCCCTGCATTAAAGTCCCCGGCTACTAGGAGCGCTGCATCTGGATGAGCGTTTTCCTGTTGATTAATGGCCTTGTACAACTCATTCAGTGCAATCTTAATGCCAGCATTGGTTTGTGGTGGTAAATAGACAGCTATGAAAAATATAGATGAAAACTCTCTTGGTAAATAGTGTGGTCTACAGCTTATCATAAGATACTCTACCTCAGGCGAGCAAAACCTCGAGACTTCCTTAGTATTTGATTTTGTGCACCAGCTGTTGTTTACAAATATACAGAGACCGCCACCCCTCGTCTTACCGGAGTTTGCCGTTCTGTCCTGCCGATGTAGCGTATAGCCTGCTAGCTGAATGTTGTCATTGTTGTCGTTCAGCCACGACTCCGTAAAACATAAGATATTACAGTTTTTAATGTCCCGTTGGTAGGATAACCGTAATCTTAAATCGTCAATTTTATTCTCAAAAGATTGAACATTGGCTAATAGGATTGATGGGAGAGGCAGTTTACTCGTTCGCCGTCGGATCCTTACAAGGCACCCGGATCTGCGTCCACGATATCTCCGTCTCTTCCTCACGCGAATGACGGGGATCTGGGCCTTGTCGGGAGTCTGTAGAATATCCTTCGCGAACGCCTCGTTGAAGAAAAAGTCTTCGTCCAACGCGAGGTGAGTAATCGCTGCCACAACACGCAGACAGCAGCACCGTGCCTTTCATATGCTTTGCCTTCACACAGCATGTCCGCACGCTCTGTGGTGTCCGTGTGGTCCTAAATCCAGCCGAACAGCCTACCCGACCGCTCTGAGGCGTCCGCATGGTCCGATGCTGCTTTTAGTATCACAGTGCAATGATAAAACAGGGTGGGACAAAAATGCTATTTTAGAATGTGGGGGGGTCTATGACGTTAGCTAATATGGTGACAACGATGTAGGCTGTGTGTAGAGGTTAGCGGTTATGGTATGTCTTGGAAAGTTTTTTTGCCTGGTCACAGACAGCTGTTGGATTATGCACTGAAAAGGTGAGAGGAGGAGAGCGCGTAGATGCGAGAAGGAATTATACAATGAGCAAACTATCATGCTGTTTGTATGTGGTTGCTATGAAAGTAAACTGTGTTTGCGGTGATCAGGCGTGTATTAATTCCGCCGATTCTGTTGAAAAACGTTTCTTAAACGGAAGCAAACGGAACGAAACGGGGATAAACATACCTGAATTTGTCCAAAAGAAACTCTCGTTTGCAACTGTTGGACTAATGATTACACCCTAGATCAGCTAGATTCAGGCAAGAGTGTGTCAGGTGGTATTGAATGTGTCACTGTCTATCACCTTGATTACTAAATTATTTCTCTCGACCTGTGCACCTACGTTGTAGGGTAAATTGTAGCAACCTCCAATATGCTGTAATAGAAATAAGTCCATGCTCATTTAAAAACAAATCGTCCTCCATCATCTTAAACGGCACCGACCGCCACTGTAGACAATGTACATTTTTATTCATTAATGTGATCTTTTATCCGAATAGAGTGATTTGGGTTGGGAGGTCAGATGGTGATATAAAAAGTAATGACCCTTGACTAAAGTTCACTGTCTATTTCATCGCTATATTCTCTACTTTTCCTTTTCCATCCCTCAATTTCCCACTGCTCTCCCTCCCGCTCTTCTCCCACTGTCCTCCACGCTGTCTTCCTCACAAAAACATCCCTCAGGGCTCAAGGAAACATTACCATCTGCTGAAATAATGGAGGGGTGATTGTAGAAATAATGTTGTCAAATTGAATTTCTGGAAACATTAAACGTGGCGATCTCTGTCTTTTCGTCCATGTCTACAGCATGTGTCAGGTAGGTGTGTGTGTGTGTGTGTGTAGACACAACTTGAGGTGTTTTGTGCTCTGATTAATCACATTCTCCACCCTGTCCACCTGTACACAGCTCGAGGGTACTATGACACAATGGCACAGTCATCCAATTCCAAGGCCTGAAAAAAATGAGAAATCTAGACCAAATGTTACTCTCTGTAAGTGTAGTATGACGTACACTCTTAGAAAAAAGGGTTCCAAAAGGGTTCTTCGGCCGTCCCCGTAGGATAACCCTTTTTGGGTCCAGGTTGAACTATTTTGGGTTCCATTTAGAACCCTCTGTGAAAAGGGTCCTACATGGAACCCAAAAGGGTTCTCCTATGGGGACAGCCGAAGAACCCTTTTAGGTTCCAGATAGCACCTTTTTTTCTAAGAGTGTAGGATCTTTTAGAGGTCGACTTGGATTATTCTGCTCAAACTCCATCATTGTATTGGATTTTATACATAACCAACCTGTTGTACGCAGTGGACAGCGATGTAGGTAGAAATGGGGAGGATGTGCTCATTGTGATGTCTGGATGGAATGTAATGTAATCATAGTAAACACCCATAGCCCAACCTCTTAATTTCTTCCATCAACAGCCTCCACTGGTAACAGGCAAAAACCTGACATAACGTAAAATCAAAGTCCATTTTTGGTTGATATTTATTTGAGTTGTCAACAAACGTGAATTCTACTTGAAATAAACAAAACCTTAATCCTGTCATTGATTTGTGGTGGACGGGGTTAAAATGAGTCTACGTTGACAACTTTTTTTGCGTTTTCAACCAAAAATCCCATCGATATTCAATGTATTTTAAAACCGGTGGGCTATCTCTCTGAACATTGTACTACCTGATCTCAAGTCTTGTCTTCCTCTCTTTGTTCATCAGGACTTGTTCACAGTAGAGGCGAAATTCAAGGAGTCTGTGTTTGAGAACTACTACGTCATCTACTCATCGACGCTGTACCGGCAGCATGAGTCTGGCAGGGCCTGGTACCTGGGCCTCAACAAGGACGGCATGGTCATGAAGGGCAACCGGGTGAAGAAGACCAAGCCCTCCTCACACTTTGTGCCCAGACCCATCGAAGGTGAGACCGAAACACCCTCTGGCTGCCAGCCAGCCACACTCAGGGCTGGATTCAAATGCAACACCTGCCAAAAGTCAAGTCAAGGTTTATTTAAAATGCCAGAGTCATAACACACTTTTACAAGCCATAGCTGTGTTAATGAAGTGTCTTTGTACTTTGTTTATAAATTACCCAGCAGGCCAAAATTGTCATGAGACATTATAATGACATATTCTGGTTGGGGTAATGTCAGATTGCCAGATTACAAGAATTATGTTTGTTTGAGAAGACCTCAATGTGTGTTTGATAGATTTGAGTCCTCAGACACAGGTACCCAGATAATTCATTAAAGTTTGAGAAGCTAAATAACTTTCTTGGTACTGGGAGGCAGGGTTGGGGTCAATTTTATTTGAAGTCACGCAATTCAGGAAGTGATTTGAAATAAATAGCTTCTCCTTTTCAGTTTATTGAGAAATCATTGAAAATGTATGCCCTTTTTTCAATTATCGAATTGGAATTTCAGTTTATTTCATGAGTTGACTGACTTCAATTCAAATCGACCCCAACCCTGCTGGGGGGCAAATGTAGGTTCTAATGTTGCTGAACCTCTCAATTAATCTCCTCTGTTTTTTGTCTCTCTCTCTTACTTCCTTTATCTCTCTCTCGTCTCGGAGGCTCGACCAGCTCGCTCTCGCTGAGAGAGCTCGCTAATGCTGCTTGGTCGGCTGCTCTCGCTCGCTAGATAGCGCGTGCTCTCTCTCTAGACGCGCGCTCTCTCTCTCTCTGCTCGATTCTCGCGGCTCTCTCGCTCTCTTATCTCGCTCTCCTCTCTCTCGCTCTATTCTCCCCATATCTCTTTACTATACTGTATAAATATCCCATCTCTCTCACTCCTCTTCGCTCTCTACCTCCCTCCCTCTCTCCATCGCTCTTTTTTTCTCACTTGCCACACTCCCCTGCCCTTTCTGCAGTTTGCATGTACAAAGAGCCATCGCTGCATGACATCGAGGAGAAGGGCCGCTCACGGAAAAACTCAGGGACTGAGGCTCCCGCTCTCCTGAACGGAGGAGAAAAAGTGGTGGGGCAGGACTCCACAGAGCAGGATGGCGGCTCATAGCCTGCACATCGCCCCACGGATTTCTTACACCTTGTTTAACGACAACAACAACGATGATAAACGACAACAACAACAACAAACAACAACAACAACACAATTGAAAAAAATTCTTGCCTGTGAAATATTTTAGAAAAAAAGGGGGGAAATATTTTAAAATCAGGACATTGAATTGACATTTTATGCAAAAGCCTGATACGAGTGTGGCACCAGGGAGTTCATCCTCCTCATCATGACAATGTCAATGTTTCAAAGTCGAGCTCTAAAATAAGCTTTAAACCATGGTAGTTCACACACGTTGATTTTATGAATGCAACAGCACTTTCACTTACTTCTTTGTGTTGTTATAATCATGAATAAGAATTGTATTGTAATTCATTTAGGGCTCTATTCAATCAGACAAGCTTTAGTCGACATCCGCAAAGCGGTTGTTTTGGCGGTGTCGGAGGTGGAACTGTGTTAGAGCTGTGAAATCGACAAGAGGCTCCTGGCATTATACCTAAAACAGACATTGCCAAAAAGAGAAATCCATGCAGCCTTGTTTACAAGTTCGAACACTGTAATGTGAGATGTAATCTACACCTCGATTAGGCTGATAGAAATCCTTATAATTTTGTTTAATGATTTTAAATTTGAGCGTCATTATTTCTATATAGCCTACACTTTCTCATTCTGAACTCGGGTGTTGGCTTCGTAACAATGATCAAGAGCAGCTGCTCACCGATTTGACAGCTCCAACGTAGTTACACCGCTGACACTGCCAAAACATCAGCTATGTTTTGGCTATCGCCGGTTAACGCTTGATCTGATAGAATCTAGGCCTAAGACTCTTTCCCCCCTCCCTCCTATCATTACGATCATTTTCCTTTTGGGTTGGGGAAGGGGGGGTAAAGGCAGGGGTTTGGCACGGGGAGGTTCGATGGTCTCTTCTGCAGACACTGGCGTCAGAAATGAATAGGCGTGTATCACGAATCCTGCTCTCTGATTTGCTATGATGCTCTCATGGGGAAGGGGATGGATGGGCAAGGGGAATCACTGGGGTAGAGGGGGTCACTGTACTTCACAGTACCAGTCATCTGTTGGGCTTGATGGAGTAAGCTACCTGTCCAACGTTAGACTGGTCACATGGTACAGTTTAGTATTATTGTTAGTCACTTGAGATGTTAGTGCAGCCACTGTTCTCCTGCACTCGAAGAGCAGTCTCATGCCATGGTCAAGACGCTGGTCCAGAAGTTTCTGTGAGACAGACAGACATATAGAGTTCCGATACTGCACATGTACAGTAATCAAGGGGTTCACTGATTGTTCTTTACGCCAAGAAACATTATATGTACAGTATGAAATTCTGAAAAGGGAGTATTGTTATTAGTGTGATGCTTTTTTTGAATAGTTTGCTACACTAAAAAGCATTTGATAAAAAGACCCAGACAATGATTTGAATGTGAGAGATGTGATGGACTCTCTTGAAGGATCCTGAATGAGGGAACAGCTAGGGCTAAAGAGAGAGGTCAAAGGTCAAACCCTGATGTCAGATGTCATGATACTTACTGCTGTCATCAAACCGAAGTATACCTTCAGACATCATCCAGGAAGTCCTTCATATTTCAGTGGGACCTCCACTTATTATAGCAATCGAGATTTTTGAGAGTTCTGCTAAATGCACTGCTTTCTCGACCATCCAAATCATACAATGTGTCATTGTATGAACCTCAGCATTCCTGTGTGATAAGTTGCACTGCTGGGAATCTGTTATACACTGCCCTGATTCATTGTAGACTCTGGATCCACTGCTGGGAATATCTACACGCACTGCCCTATGTCCTATTGTCTTATTATCTCTTTACTTATCACAGTTAAACTCATCATGACTCGGTCAACCAACACTGGAGGAGAGTTTTTAGATATGTTCAAATAAGCCTATCAAGGGGTCATGAGGTCTATGAGGTTGTCTCTGATTGGCTGCTGTGCTGAAGGAGACCCGGCCTGAAGGCGGGTAGCCCCCCCCTCCCCCCTGAATTTTATTTGTGTAAATTGGTGATTCTGCATTTCATTGGTGCACTACTACTCCACTAAGGAGATAAATTATCCAATCACTCCATACTGCCTCTGAGAATCTTCCATTGGGGGGAAATGACACTAGGACTAGTTGTGTTGGAGAGTTGGGGTCATTGATATAAGGTCAGGGCAATGGTATGGGGGCAAAAAGAGCCCTGCCTAAATGTGTACCGGTGTGTTTGGATATCTCATCAAGGAAGTAGGCCCTTTGTCGATCTCACCCTGACCATGGAGGGTAAAACTGAAGGGTGCGATTAATGCCATATTTACGGTAAATGGTCTTTCTATGTGTTTGCTAATGTTTGCACCTTTATTGAAACACCTTCATATGCATAATATAATAGAAAAACATTGCAAATAAACAGCAGGATGAAAACGTATAACTGAACAATAAAAATAATGATACCAAACCTCAGTGTCTGGCATTTTATTGCTTCTGTAGTATAAACAGGAGTCTTTGACTTTTGAATGCCTTTGATCTGATACACCCACTGAATTAGATAAATATACACGTAAAATGTCTTGAATGTTGGTTCATGTATATCATGTAATATTAATACATTTCCTGTCATGAAACTACACTACTGCAAGTCATTAGTAAGCTAATATGGGTAATTTGCTGGACAATATTGTAGTGAAGTAATATTTGATATGTAATGCATATTATATACTCCTCATGTGACTTGTAAGAAGACTAAGCAATTAGCACATTAAATTAATTATATGACTCCATAAAGATAATACAGCAATATGCCAGAGAATATGGTTAAACCATGTGCAATCAAGTATTATGCGTTTGGCTGACTAAGATCAAGGAATCGTCATGAGGATTGTCTATATCAAAGGCAGATATTTCATTAAATTACAAAATGAATGGATTCACATACAAGGCACAAAGCTTAAGTTACAAGGCATTAACAAGCATTAAAAGGCATTATTCTAAGCATGATCAGAGAGGGAGAGAGAGAGACAAAGAAACCATGGCTTGAGAGGGAGAGAGAAAGAGAGTGTAGGTATCTCACCAGTGCAGGTCAGGAACAAAAAAGAGAACAAGACAATGAATATAAGACTCTTTATAACATCTGAGCTGATTGGATTCCAAATCTTGAGTTTTTGACAAATAGCATTACTGTAAAGTTAACCTCCAATCAGATATCAGAACTACAGACCTGTATAGACTTCTGCTACCCAGAAGTGTGACGAGAGGGGGTTGGCAAGATAACACAGAGAATGTTGAAATCCTAAGACAACACAAAGGATATCCTTGCATACAGTTGATAAGAGTCACTTCGGGGGCTCAAATGAGGCACTACAATATTAGGGGACTAATTTTGGCTCAAGAGCACACCAAGAGGCAAAAGTTCTGTGTAGCTTCTTTAATATTATACTCCAAAGTTTGTAAAATGATTTCAGACCTCAAAAGTGGTGTTTTGTTGAGATAAGTCCATGTCCCAGGCCAATTGTTTTCAGATCCGCAGGATGACCGATTTAAACAAAATCAATATGTCTCTCTTAAAGGCCAATTTAATGATATGTCTACCAATGGAATGTTTACAGGAGAAATCAGCGCTTGCTACATCCATTTTTGGACTTGATATGTACCCATTGATTCTAGGAGAATATAACATATAAATGCCTCATGAACTTAGTTCAACTGTCGTACCCCATCAGAACCCAAAATATGAGCTTGTTTTACTCCAATGTTTGTAAACAAAGTAAATGTAAACAAATACTGTACAGCCTAAAAACATGGTTATCATGGATGGTCAGTCCTTGTATCCATAGCTCTGTCTATGAATTTGAGAGTGGTACATTTCTCCAGCCTCATCCCTCAGCTTTTTACCGAAACAAGGGCGGGGAGATGCTTTGTTATTGTTTCTACTGCTGATTGCAGCTTTAAGCATAATCTATTGGTCAACACTACTTGGGTTGGAGACAGAACGTGTGATATAGACTGAAGCTCTGCCTGTGTCCCAATTAGAACCCTATTCCCTGTATAGTGCACTACTTTTGACCAGAGCCCGACAGGCCGTAGTCAAAAGTAGTGCACAATATAGGGAATAGGGTGCCATTTGGGACACACCCTCTATCTCGGTTGCCTGAGGATCTGCGATTACAGCTGTGAGTCTTTCTGAGTAAGTCTCTAAGAGCTTTTGCCCATTATTATTTTCAAAATTCTTCAAGCTCTGTCAAATTGGTTGTTGATCATTGCTAGACAACCATTTTTAGGTCTTGCCATAGATTTCCAAGTAGATTTAAGTCAAAACTGAAACTCAGCTGCTCAGGAACATTCACTGTCTTCTTGGTAAGCAACTCCTGTGTAGAATTGGCCTTGTGTTTTAGGATATTGTCCTGCTGAAAGGTGAATTCATCTTCCAGTGTCTGGTGGATTTTCTGGATGATTTTGCCTGTGCTTAGCTCCATTCCATGTATTTTTTATCCTGAAAAACTCCCCAGTTGTTAACGATTACAAGCATATCCATAACATGATGCAGCCACCACTATGCTTGAAAATATAAAGAGTGGTACTCAGTAATGCGTGGTATTGGATTTGCCCCAAACATAACACTGTATTCAGGACAAAAAGATAATTGCTTTGCCACATTTTTTGCAGTATTACTTTAGTGCTTTGTTGCAAACAGGATGTATAGGTTTCCTTCTTTTCACTCTGTCAATTGGGTTAGTATTGTGGAGTAACTACAATGTTGTTGATACATCCTCAGTTTTCGCCTTTAACAGTTTTAAAGTCACCATTGGCCTCATAGTGAAATCCCTGAGTGGTTTCCTTCCTCTCCGGCAACTGAGTTAGGAAGGACGCCTGTGTCTTTGCAGTGACTGGGGTTTATTGACGCACCATCTAAAGTGTAAATAATAATTTCACCATGCTCAAAGGGATATTCAATGTCTGCTTTTTTTTAAATCTACCAATATGTGCCCTTCTTTGTGAG